TGGTACCATTCATAAGAGACTCCACCATTTTTATACAGAATGGTATGCCCTGCCATACATGGTAAAACAATGGTTTTAGGATCATGAGATTGAGCTTTTGGAATGGCTATCTAACTCACCAAACATCAGACAGAAATACTGAGGAATATTATAAGATCATATCCCAATGAAAATCACTACAGATCATCTGAAAGAAAATTTCTATGACAAAAATTCAATGATGATCTGTGCAAAAGCTTTCACAATATCAATGCCTTTCAGAGGCAAGACTCATAGTTGCCTTGTGAATACTAACTTTTCAACAATTATTACATGTTTATCAAGTTATTGTAAACAATAAAAGAATGCAATATATTTAAATTGGAAAAAAATTTTTTTCCCCTAATTTTGAGTTGTGGTTTCCAAACTTTTGTAAGGCACTGTAAATCAATGCTCAAAATCCTATCTTTTAACTGTGCTTCACCTGTGAGAGAAAAAAAAACAAAAAAAACAATCTCAGCTATACAGCAAGCTTAGTTTCTATTCATATCTTTTCACAACAAAACACAGCAAAATCAAAAAGATATGGAGAAATTAATAGACTGCCAAGTGAAGGGGCATTAAATGAACTGTTCTAGGAATTAACAACTTTTTGTGATTTAAAAATGCAAAATCAGCAGACTAAGGAAAAATATTCCTTTAATAGTAAGCAAGGAATAGCAAATCCATTTAAAAAAGTAAGAGCAGCTCAAGATGACACAGTCATTAAGACTAAGGTTAGTAAATCAATACCTAAAACAACAAGAAAATTCTTGCCATTACTATAGCCACAATGGCAAAGCCAGATTTTGATACTGAACAGCAAGCAGAGACTTGGATTAATAGTGAATATTTCTAAGGCACACTGATTTGTATATAATCATCATATAATGCCTAAGATCTAATTTTTAAGATAATTTCTTTGACATTGTGTGTCCTTTCTGAGTTTAACCATCCTTTTTGTCTCCAATTTTCCTTAAGCCTTTGTTGTTTATATGTCCATACATGGAATTCTTAACATCCTATCAAACTATATTTCTGTTGCCTCCAGTTTTTTCATCTATCAGGAGGTTGTCCCACATTCACTGCCACACAAAAGGACATAGCAGTTCAGCACTCTTTTTATTTAATATATTCAAAAGTTTAAAGGCTTAATCTTTTGGTATGCAATTGATTGACAGGTATGATACATTGCCCAAAGATAATGAGGAATTATATAAGGCAGAAATGTTTAATGAGGTGAGAAATTATTTCAGTCTGCATACACAGTTATCTTTTCCTTTCTTCTTATAATGTTGTGAGACAGATGTATATTTGATAACTCCACATGGCAAATTTAAATTCATCTTGTCACTAACAATGGTTTCCAATGAGTAAGATTCCATGCACCAATGATGAAAATATGATTAGCATTTAATCAAAAGACACCTTATCAACAGTAAAAGTCGAAAGTAAATTAAAATATTATTACAAGAATCTATAAAGGGCCTTAATTTGTTTGGATAGAGATCAGTTCAGTTGAAAATAATGCATTGTTCCTAATAGATAATAGTCATTGTTTAAAAAAAACAACTTTATAATGACAAAATCCAAGGAAAGTAATTGATTGTTCTATAGATGATGCAGGCAAGTATCTTAACCTGTTCTTGTCCTGAATGCAACATTTAGGCTGATCTATTCTTTTCTCCTTCAAATTCCATCTTTTGTTTCCTGGTTTGTTTTTGTTTTCAAAACCCATTTCTAATGTAACACTGGTGCACAAAACAAATAAATATGAAATTTGCTTAAAGATTTAAAATAGTTCCTTATTACTATTAGTTTCATCAAGCTGGAACTACTCAAGGACAATTTTCATGAAGCATTTCTTGCCTGATGAGCCCAGATGGAAAAAAGTATTGAGAGTAGGCAACTATTTCACATCTCAAATCAAAGTTTAACTTGCTTTATTCTTCACCGAGCACTTTTTGTTGCTGCAACTATTGTCTAAGTGGTAAGACATGCTCCTTCAACTTTTGAAACATGTGTTTGCACTAATAATATTTACACTTCATATGTATGAACATAAATCCATTTCATGCATATGTATAGAGTGAAATTGTTGAAGAGTCGATTTATATATATTATAGAGTTGTTTTTTCTGTTTTCATTTTGAATTTGTAGGTCTGATGATTTGGATCGTATTTACGATTCCAATGGAATAAATTATGACCATGGAATATTAGTGTTTAAGCCTTTTTATTATATCCTTACTCTGTCCTAGACATTGAGTTCTACCTGGATTCTTCCTCTTGGAAAAATGTTTTTCTGAAAATATACATGTATGGGTATTTTTATATATATTTTGCATATGTATGTATATTTTCCACTAATATTATATATATATATATATATATATACACACACACCCTTGTGCAAATTAATTGAAAGAAAACAAATAATTCCGTTATTTACTTTTTTTTTTTTTTTTTCCATTGAAACATGACCCAATGCACATGTTAGTACTTCGTATGTCCATTCCAAGAAGTCATTCCTTGCAGACTGCCCACAGATTCTTGACTGGATTTAAATCAGGAAAGTTTCTGGGTCAGTCTATAGAACTTTGATTTGCTCACTGGTAAGGTTTGCCAGTGTATTTGTGCAGTATTACAATTTTCACACGCTTCTTTGGAGTAACGTCCATCACAGACAATAGCCATAGGATAACTAATCGACAGTCGAGACAATAGTGTCTGGGCGTGATAAAAATCCGATGCAATTATGAATGACACAATATTTTTCAAAGCCAAACAAATTTCATCACACACCCCAAAAATAGATTCATATTACTGCAAACTACTGCATTGTGTGTGTATATGTATATGTATGTATATATAAAATCTTGTCCTAAAATTCTCAACACAACAATTGTTATTTGTTGAATAAATTTAGTATGCTGCAAGTCAAATAGATGACACCAAGATTCAATATTAACATTATAAACATCAAAAAAGTATATAATTGTCCACTTTTCTAGACACAAATGAAGTTGAGATTACTAAAAAAAAAAAAAAAAAAAAAAAAAAACTAATTTGCATAACTCAACCACTGCCTTATCCACCAACTGTTTAGTTCATACTTATTACTCTTAAGGAAGAAAAGTATTTAATTCAACTAGGAAAAACATCTAACTTATACCACTTTCTCATGAGACATAAAGAAATTTTAAATCTGCTCAAAGTAAAAAAATAAAAAAAATAAAAAAATAAACATTCTGAATAAATTTTTTCTTTATCACACACATAGTTTTGTGGAGATAAAAAAACAAAATAAAAAACTTTTTTTCTTTTAAATGTACAAAGTTGTATGACACTCACTCTCTCTTACAAGTACCTTAAAGTATAAATTGCAACGATTCTTTGAGAGAAGAAACATGAACTGAATTAATCACATTCAACAGGATTGAATCTTATGTCTTTTACTTGAAAATGTGATTGAATCTTATGTCTTTTACTTGAAAATGTAACTGATAAGGAACAAAACCAAACAATTTTAACCTAAATAAACACTAAAACTTTAAAGACATAACATATTGAAGTCATTTAAGAGCAAAGTGAGTGTCTAAGATTACAATACTTAATGGCATATAGATTCAAGCTATTTACATTTGTAATGAAGTCAGTTTAAAAAAACAAAACTTGAATCTTTCATATGTAATATTATATTTAATTCAATCCCTAAGTATTTGTACATGACCCATGAAACCACTTGTCCAATACTTGGAAATATTCATGCACAAACATTTGATGTACTTAGGAGTTGAATTTGATATAATATTAAATATATCAGAGATTACAAACTTCTCTCTAGGGCGGTTGTTTATATAACTGGATGTATAAGAAATTTTTCCCACATTTGCAAGAACAGATCCAGGTGTAAATTCATGTACTTATGTGTTTGATAGCCAGGAGTAACCCCCAGACCCACCAGGCACCTGGTTTTCTTAGTTTGGTGTGAAACTGAATGCAAGGCCTATTCTGGCCTAATACTGCATATTTAATTTTACAGTATTATAGTTATGGTAGATAGCAGTATTGGTAGTCTGGGTAAACTAACCTATCAAATACTGACACTTCAAGTATAGAACACAGGAGATTTTTGAGACATGTTTTTTAGAACAAAGGTGGTGTTAAATGTCATCAAATCCAAACTTTCCCCAGGTAGATTTAAAATTAGCAGCCTTCCTTTAAAAGAACAGTTATTCTTCTATTCAATTTAACCATTGCAGATTTGTTTTTGTTTTTTGTTTTTGTGTAAAAGTTAGTGTTCCTATTTTTATTTAAGCAGGTGTTATTTTACAGCCAAAATAATGATAATAGTCATCTCTTGCTTACAAGCATGGAAAAAAAAAAAGAAAAAAAAAAAAAAGGTTTCTTCTTGCTTTATCAAAAGATATAAATGCAAAGGTGATCATGAATAAATGGAATATTTCATGTTGACATGCTGAAATAGAAAGAGATTGAGAGAATAACCAGAAATTTGGCCATTCTGAAGCTTCTATATAGATAAGAAAAACAAAACCAAATCAACAATTCTTAGCCCAGTGATAAGCAGCATTTTTTTTGTGTGTGTGCAGTTTTAAGCATTTCCCTTTAAAAAACAGAGTTGAAAGCTTTGGCTGGTGCAGTTAAGACAAAAATAAACATGCTTCTAGCTGAATGAAAGCAAGCAAAAAGTGGTTAATTAAGAAAGAGCATTTGAGATTTGAAGCTAACGTTAAAAAATAAAAAAAAAAAACTACAATGATCACAACAATAAGGCACAACATGCAAAAATATGACAGCTACAATAAAAAAAAAAAAAAAATTATAATGCATATACATATGTGTGTATGTGTATGTGTGTGCACACACACACACACGTGTGTATGTTGATTTTCTTCCAACTCACTCCTGGTTGAGAGGAAAGATGAAAGAACTAAACATTGAGAATGCAGAAGAAAATACCTATTTTCTGAAGAGAATAGGGCAAATGTGGGACGTCTCGACAATATTCCAGATTCAGCATCACGTAGTTTCAAGTTGTCCACGGGAAGCATATATTTCTTCTCTTTCTCCTACAAAGTAATTAAGGGAGAATGTCCCAAGCAAGAAAGACATTTTTTTTTCGAGCAGAAGCAATAAGAAGAGATGGAGGAGGAGCAGCAAACAAAGAATTTGAAAGAATAAAAATGCTTAGGAGAATTCTGAAACACCAAAACACTAGGTTGTCTTGTTTCCTATTTCGCTTGGACAGTGCTGAACACTTTTTTTTTTTTTTGACAAAATTTAGAATCAATGCCAGAATTTTCAGAACTCCTAAAGAACACAAATATATTCTTCAATAGAACCAACATTAACAAACATTACTATTAGTTTGGGATTTTCCCCACATTTTTTTGTAAATCAACAAAGAGCAGGAATAGAAATATTACCCCTGTCCCATAATAGTTGCTACATTTCTATACATGTTTCATACATTAAATGTAACTAGTATTTTGGGACAAGTGTATGAAAAGAAATGTTACCTCTGTCCCATAATAGTTACTACATTTACAAAGACATTTTATACATTAAATGTAACAATTATTACAAAACAGAGATAGTACCTTATTTGGTTGAAATTAGTTAAAAATATTAATTTAATTATTCTTAATCATTTTTTAATCTGGCCAAGTTAATTGGCTGATATTGGTACTTAACTGTAACTGCTTAAAGTTTATTTGAATGGAAGTAATGCAAGAAACACAAAAAAAAAAAAAAAATCTAAATGTTAGTAATTTTTTTTTTATATAATTGTAGATAATCATTACTTCTGCATACCAATTTAGCTGTAGCTTTTTATAAACTGAAATATGAAATATTCAAACTTAAATTTCTTGTACCCTGTTCCTCAGAGAAGTTGTGGTTAAAACTCTAATTTTTCTTTATTCTTAATTATAATCAATTAATTCAAAATCATTACTGGTTGTCTTTTTGAATGATGAGTAGATCTTTAAGTTCATGCCTGCACATATCAATAATGTTAGGTTTGATTAAATCTTTGCAAAGATTTCTGATCAGAGATAATCCAAGTGACATTTCATGATCAAAATCAAATATTAAGTCATTTCTAATTGCTGTCTATTTAAATAGATGATGATAGGTAATATGGTTTCCAACTGTTATCAGTTTTTTCAACATTTTTTTTTTTTTTTATTGAATAGGTATTTATTTATTTTTTTAAACATCTAAAAGATTCACATCTGTGGAAGTTCTGTTGGCATGCCAAAAGTGCTCCTCCTCCTGTTTCTTGGTTTACATGAAATTCTAAGAAAAAAAAAAAAATCAGAGGCATTCACAGAGAGTTGAAATCCAGTAAAAACCAATCACATGCATAATATTCTTGTCAGTATTTTTTTTGTACTGCTGCAGACTAAGAAATAAAGAAAGAAAACTTTATTCCATATGGAAACAAGTGAAAGCAAATTGAGTATTTCCTTCTTTTATAAAGACTGAAGAAAAAGAGAAGTGTTGTTTTTTTTTTTAAGATACTTTAAACTATACTAGGTTGTCAAAACACTGTCACTAATTTATAGATTAAATCAAATAAAAGAATATATATATATATATATATATACACACACACACAAACTTCACCTTACAATTGCAGTAGAGCAAAACTTGAGTAGTAGTTTGAACTTTATCTCTTTTTGAGTAGTGTTGCTAGTAATATTCTAGCATTTTTGCTGATTTAAACAAAGCACTTTCTCTTATTATTTAGGTAAGTGTCCATTTTCAAGGTTTTATTTTTTTTTTAGTTTATGCTTCCTTTTCCTGTTTTGATATTTTGGTTTTTATTTTATTTGGTCACTTTGTCTTGCTTTTACCAATCCTTTGTTTTTTGTTTTGTGTATATATATATATATATATATATATATATATATTTATTAATAAGAAAAAGAGAAATTGCAAACGTTTTTGGTTGTAATGTGGATTTTTTGTAGTTTCTCCTTCTTTTTAATATACACACTTTTCTCTCGTTGGAACTACTATAACCTCTTCCCTATATATATATATATATATATATATATATATATATATATATATATATATATATATATACACACAAACAAAGACTTTTACAGTAACTGCCAAAATTATAAAATGTAAAGTAAAAAGTACTCTATACTATGTAGAGTTTAAATAACTTGAGTAGATAAAATATTTCATAATTTCTATAATTTTAATTTTATATACAGCTAGAAGGTGTATGAAATTTAGAAATATAATTGAAGCTCATTTATTTTATCATTTAAAGAAAAAGAACAAAGCTTTTAAGTAGGCTTTAATCAATGCCGAAGTGGTTAAGCACCTTACTTCACATAATCTGCTCTCCGACAAGCAATATAGTTTCTGCTTTGACCAATCTAACTCAGACGTGCTCACGACAATAACTGAATTTATATATCAAGCACTCAACAATAATGGAGAAGCCCAAGCCGTGGCTATAGACATCTCTAAAACATATGATAGGGTTTGACATGCTGTCCTTCTTTGTAAGCATCAGGGATACGGTATTACAGGATGATTATTTGACTTAATTCAATCATTCCTGTCAAACCATGAAAAGAAGGTTGTCCTAAACAGGTTCTCCTCTAGCTCCTTTATCACGAATAATGGTGTCCACCAAGACTCCATCTTGGGCCCTACACTGTTCTTGATCTTCATCAAGGACCTTCCCGATGTCATCAGTTCTCAAGTTAGCATCTACATGGACAACACCACTATTTACTCCTGCCTTAATAGTAAATCTGGTATCGTTGACAAAAATAATCTGGCTGCTGATCTTAAAAAGGATTTCCAATCTGTGGTAGACTTGGGCAGGAAATGGCTTGTAAACTTTAATGCCTCCAAAACGAAAGAGATCCCTTCCTGCCTCCCATCAGAAGGGCCGATTCCCAACTTCCTGAGAGCGCCTTGTTATGCCTGCTTGGTCTCACGCTGTCCACTGACATGAGGTGGAACAAATACATAAACTCAATAGCTTCATCTACCGCAAGGAAAGTTGGTTCTCTGTGTCATGCCAGAAAGTTTTTCCCATCTGAGTCCATCCTTCAAATCTATAAATCAACCATCTGCCCTTGCATGGAATATTGCTGTCATATATGGTCTGGTGCTCCCGCTGTACGTATCAAGGTCCTTGACAAAATCCAGAGACTGATGCAAAAATGATATCTAGTCTACAATCACTATCCCACAGACATGCTGTGGCCTCCCTCTGTCTCTTCTACAAATATTTTCGTGGCAACTGTTCTGACAAGCTACTTTTGCTGGTTCCTGGACTACATAAATTTAAACGTGCTTCTAGGCTGGTTTCTCAGTCCAACCCTTTCACTGTCAAAACAAATAGATGTATCTGATTCTTCTTCTCAAACAGCATCTTCTCCTGCACTTCCCATCTGTGGAACTCCCTTCCCCTTACTTGCTTCCCCGATGACTATAATCTTCAAATATTCAAGTGTAATGTCAATTGACATCTAACTCCCTGAGTTTGTTCCCCATCCTTCTCTGTATCCTTTCCTCAAACAAGCCTCTTTACTCTTGTTCTCAATCCTCTGTAACCCCTTGCATGCTAGTGGCACTCCCGCCTTACTTGGGGTGAATTGCCTTAGAAAAAAGAAAAGTAAACTTAACCAATATTTAATATTTGGTGTTGGCTCGTTTTGCTTTTATAACTGTCTTTATGTGTTTTGTATATTGGAGACCAGAAAATTTTCTGCATTTCTTCATGAAGTTTGGCTTCTAATTTGAAGAATATTTGTGCACTCTCACTCATGACCACAGATGTTCAATGGGATTCAGGTCAGGGGATTGAGGGGGCCACTTCATGACCCTCACTTCTTTTTCAAACCAACCCTTCAAAACTCTGGATGTGTGGCATGGTGTGTTGTCTTGTTGGAAAATTGTATGTTATTGTTGAAACTTTTCTCTAATGAAGGTAGGTAACATTGGTCTAACATGTAAGTGTTGGAATTCATTCTACTCTCGCATGTGAATAACATTCTTGTTCCGGAAGATGACATGCAGCTCAAAATCATTATGCTCCCACCTCTAAATTTTACAGTTGGGGGGCAACACATTGAGCTTCCTCAACTCTTCAATGAACATAAACAACTTCAGTATTAACAGGTATAATAAAATTAATTATGCTCAATAAATTAGTTTCAACTAATAAAGGAACTTATTTCAAAATTGTTTTCATCAGACCAGACAACTTTGGTCCCATCCTCAGCCATCCAATTTTCATGTTCTTTTGCAAAAGGAAGTCTCTTTTTCTTATTAACCTCAGACAGCAATGGTTTTTTTCTAGCACTACATCCTTTGAGGCCAGCTTCTAATAACCTTATCACTGCACAAGTCAATATCACTGTTTGTTGCCTCTTGAAATTCAGCAGTCACATTAGAAGAGTTTTTTTCTTATCACCTAGAGATAACGTCTTTAGCAGTCTGTCTTCTCTTGAGTTTATACACCTTTTTCAGCCTTGGCCATCACGATTTTTTGAAAGAATTGGTTTTTATCATATCTTTTAATGGTTGTTTTTACACCATTTCTTGAGCATTTCACTTTTCTTGCAATTTTGACTTGGGATAACCCATCTTTTAGTTTCAGGAATGTTTTTCTTCAGAAATATTTTCAACAAAGAAGAACCACTTATAAATTGATACTAAACTTGTTACTAAAAAATTAGAAAAGATTTAGCACTACAGATTAAATTTCAAATAAATGATTTTGCCAACTCCAAAATTTCATGTAACACTGATCGTCAGGCTGAGGGGGTCTGGACAAATCTACTGAATTATTACCAAATATCATATTTATATCCTACAAAATGTTAATTGTCAACTCCAAATTTAAAGTTTGAAATACATTGGAGTCAGTTAAGAATGGGATAATGTTTAAATATTCAGAAGTAGTTAAAAGGTTTTTTTGTTTTTTTTTAAATATTTGTTGTTATAAATTTAAATTTTATAAAAAGTATTAAAAATAAACACAGCAAATTCACTTACATATTATTTA